AAACTGCAAGTTCCTTTTTCTTTTCTACTGCCCTCTCCTATCAATTGACAGTACATTTAGTGGTGCAAAACAATAGCAAAAAAAAACCTTCAGAGAGAGCTAGAGTAGCAATTTCTGCCCAAGGTAGTCATTACATGGCATACTTCCACACTTTTTCTTTTCACCTTTAACTGTACACATTTGAAAGTCAATATACGTGAACTGCAGATTATGAAATGAATATGAGAGTGATCTTTGCAATAATGAACACTTCTTAAACAGAACTGAAAATCAATTCAGGACTTCTGTGATACCAGTGCAGTGCCCTACCAACTGAGTTGACAAGCCAGCCAGGAGCTGGTCTAGAACCAACAAAACGACCAGCTCCCAGTTGGCTTGTAAGCTCACTTAGTGGAAAATTAACTCACTTAGTAGAAAATTCAAGCCTGTATGGGAGTTGAACCTATGACTTAGTGACACTGGTACAATTCCTTACCAACTGAGCTAACAAGCCAACTAGGAACTGGTCTGGAACCAACAAAATGACCAGCTCCCAGTCTACTTGTTGGCTCACTTAAAAGAGCACCACACCATTTTGCACAGGTCAATGGTTCATATCCCGCACAGGCCTGAATTTTTTTATGGTTTTATTTTCAGTACTTAAGTAGTGTTCATTATGGCAAAGATCTTTCTCATGCTCTCTTTTCCTCTTTCTTGGAATGAAAACTCCTGTGTACACATAACACATAAATGAATTTTCAATTTTATTAAGATGGAAGAAAAACTTTATATAAAGGAGGTCCTTGGCACAAATGGCTGATTTACCAACTACTATTTGAAGTGGTTGACACACATGATATTCATAACTCAGCCACTTTCTGTCCAGTTATCTCTCACATCTCTTTAAAACATGAAAATTACAAATAATAATAGAAGAAGTTATAAATCAACAAAAAACCTTTCTCTGTTCACAAAAGCCTCAAGCCAAATAACCTAAACAACAGCCACTGTTAAGAACATTTCTTGTCTCCTATATTATGCATTAAAAATCACAAACAATGACTATTGTATGGTATCTACCTTGCATTCTTGTGGTGTCATGTTATGATATTTTGGACAACCAGATAAAGTGTGATGCATTTCAAATTTTCCTGTCATGTGACCAAGCCCGTCACAACCAGATGTTGGACACCTCTTCACTCTCTTCATTGACTTTCTTTCCTTAGTCTCATCTCCTATTTCTGTAAAAGATGCCAAGGGGAAGCTTTCCGCTTTGTTTTCAACTGGTGGTTTTTCCAACACATGAATCTTTCTTGGTCTCCCTCGCTTTTTTTTAACAACTGGGGTCTGTGTGTCTGGTAGCAGAAGAGCATGATCATCTAAATTGTTCATTGATGCACACTCAGGACAAATTGTTGAGATGGACTGCTTGAGTACTGATTGTGAGTAAGGAATGCATAGCAAGTGGAATGCTCTATCACAGGTTTCACAGGTCTCAAGCTACAAGTTAAAAAAAAAAGAAAAGTAAATAGTGGTTTGTGAGCTATATGTAAAAAGCTAGTGTCATTTTTCAACATAAAGCAATTACCTGATGCAAATTGTCCAGACAAAAGGTGAAGAGAAAGAAAACTAAGATGAGTTGTTCGTTATTGACTGAAAAAGTCATTAAAATGAATTCACTCTGAAAGCTTTGTCAGAAATGATCATACTGGTTACATCCTTTTTTCACTAAAACAGATTCCATAAATAGACTGATCAGAACCTTATAGAGGTGATGACTGTTAAATGAAAATTCTATTCACAAAAGACAATGTTTAAGAAAAAACAATCCCTCTCTCCTACTACTGAAACATCAAAGATAAGAAAGTTATAATGCAAAATAAAACTTAGGATAATAGACTCAGACAGAGGATTCACCTAGAGACCATACTTTCCAGGTGATATGTTTGAATGGAGTTACAAGTACAGCGTGTACATTTATTTTTAAATTTCAGTGTTACATACCAGTAATGATCACTTATTGCTATTATTTAAAACTTTTACATCACTTTTGTTGTTGTTTTATATATAATCACCTCACTTTCAGCTGACTTGCACACATAACAGGTTTTGCAAGCTCTGCATTGCCACAAGGAACTGTCTAATCTTGGACAGTCTTCATTGGAAAGAGACAAACAAGACCTGTGCCCTTAAATTAGGAAAAAAAATAATTGAGTCATTACTGACATAAAAATCATAGATGACCATAAATACATATCAGTTGAAAACAACTTTAAAATTAAGTCGCCATTGTTGTAAAAAAAGGTGAGTCACAGTGGCCTCCTTCAGGACAGAGCAAAAGGGCTGTCAAGTATGACTTCATTTAAAGCAGAGGCTTTTTGTTGTTAACTGTCACAAAGCACAAATATGTCAATTGAAAGAAACCAAAAGTTGATGTTCAAAGAAGATGTAAAAAACATAAAACAAGTATGGGATAGTGAGTATATATCAAGTTGTACATGAGTCACATTTTGTATTCTAGACACTTCATACTTTGTTTAGAAATAATGGTGTCCTAGACTGTGGGCTTGAGTGAGTTGTTTGAGATTTTGTTAAACACTTTGTCAGTCAGCCGCTGACTGGTTGTTATAGAGAGATTAATTTGGTTGTTGGGATGTACTTTGGAGGCTAAAATACCATTAGGGAGAGGTGGCAGTGTACAGGGGTTAAAACAAGGTAATATATGGACCTTCCACTGTGACAAAAAACAAGTGGCTGGTGTAAAGAGAAAGCCATTTCTGTAGGTTAAACTGTGCTTTAATAAAACAAGACAATCTTTAACCTTGGCAAGGGGGACTTTATACTTATCAGCAGATTATTATTAAATACTGTAAATTGCATTGCCCAGATTTTCATGTGTTTTTAAAAGTGGAAGAATTTTGCCAAGGACAAACAGTCAAAGCTGTTCACTTTTCTGATAAAATTCCCTCTGAGACTACAGCTCAAGTATAGAGTGGAAGTGAGGTTTGGATGGTTTGGTTGAATTTGGTTTGGCCAATGCATTGCCTTCTAGGCCTGTAGTGATAAGACATTATAGGACAAGCTTGTAGAAAAGCTTCCACGTTGTGAGGAAAATTTTACCTCTCTCCAAGCACCATTATCTTAACCATATTTAGCAATTAAACAAACTTGAAACTTGGAATAAAAGTGCTCCAACAAATAATTTATTGACAACATAAAAAAGAAATATATAGGCCATTATATTTAAAATATAAAACCATACTATGCTTTTAGATTAAAACACAAAGAAATACCCAGAGTGCAGCAATTTGAACATTGCAGAATATTTTCTTCATCGTGGAGGCTATTACACACAATGCAGCCTTGTTTGTTATCTTCAGAAACAGTTCCTGCACTGAGCCTTGTAGATCTTCGTTTTCCTGGAGACACATTCACAACAAGAGATCAGCTCAGTTATCATAACAATATTTTCATAATTCCAGTTTTCCCAACTACTTGCCATAAACGCCACTTTTTCTGATTGCATTGCATCAAACCAAAATGGTAATGTATCCTCCCTGTTTCCTTTCAATAAATTAATCACAATTCAAACAAACAAATATATACACCAAGAAAACCAGCATTTTTTTAAACTAACAATGGGAAATTAAAAAAATGATAAAAAACTTTTTCAAGTTACATGTAAAAAAAAATAGAGAAAATAAGAAACAGCTAAACAATAGGAACTGGACACCCTCAGATGACATTCAGTCATTAACACTGTACATCCAACCTTTAGATCAATGACAGTGTCTGAGAAACTACACACCTATCCCTCCCCTAACCCAACATTAACCTAACTGGTTATCAGTAGATTTTTTTTTGGTTGGCTTAGGAGAGGGGTAGGTGCACAGTTGCTCAGATACTAACAATGATCCCAACCTTTTGATGCTGTCTGATTTTTCTGAGGAAATGATGATGGTCCTTTACTGGGGAAAGGACTCCTGGCAGGATTGCTGCTACTGTCAGAAATCTCCACTACATCCACCTCAATATCAGAGTCATCTGATGAATCTGCAGCAACGCGTAATTGCTAACACATAAAATATGAAGCAGTCAGGTAGTACATGTAGCCATAATCAATTCTCTTACAACAAATGGTTCATTGACAGAGTGCAAACTCTAAAACTCAAAGGTCACACAATTATAATCAAGAGGATAAATTCCACACGAGATAATTGCAAGGAGTGGAAAATTTTGCTCTTCATGAATTCTGCCCTTCCGAATCCCTGTGCTGAGTCAAATAAACAGTTTTACGGAACAGGAATTTGGGGGCAACTTCAGAATACCCCGCAACTCAATTACATGTCATTGAATAAGAATAGCGTCTATTGTGTTATGCCTCGATCTTCAAAGCCTCCCGACACATGTAAGTGAGGTGGACCAAAGTTGCGGGGTATCGTTGAGAAGAGCATTTATGGTCCAAAGACTTTATTTACCGTTTCCTCTCGATACTCTCTTTTTCGTTTCAAAGGTTGGACTTTTCTGGAGACACAGAACTGCACAATCACGTAACCGAGTAAGTTATCATTCGACGTTTTTCTTTCTTTTTATTTGGTATTTATATAAAACGATGGCTGTTACCTTTCTTTTAGGCATGGTGATTCAAAGTCCAGCATCTAGCAATAATCAAACAAGGCTGCAATGAGTGAGTAAGTCATCTCTTCACCATACTCGGTTTACCAGGAGGCCATTCTTGGATAAGATTGTTACACATCAGCGGTATTACTACGTGGTGAATAATCTTGTGTGTAAAAGACTGTATTTTGTCTACCTGTCAGGATTGATTGTCACTTGTTTATTACTTATTGCTGGCACCTTCAAAATAGAACTATACTAGTTTAAACAACACAAGAAGTTGCAATTTTAAAGTTAACTTGTGTAGTTTTACAAATGTATCGTATTTTTTTCTCTGAATGGCCTCGAAGGTCACATTTTTGGCCATTGACCAAATGGTCAGCTCTGTGTTGCATACATAACGTCCAATTAACGGCCGTGTGTATGGGTTGTGTGCGTACGGTTTACATCTATATGTAGTATGTCAGCTGTCCGTGTTATTTCTTTGTACTTCGCAGATTACGTGTTCCCCTCTTTCTTTTAGAGGGAATTCTTTTGTTTTAAGAGAATAACCAGAACCTGTGACAAAAAAAAAATTGAACATGGAGGCGACTAGTCTCGAAGAAAGTGACCTGAAAGGAATGGAAGTTTGTAATTTTGGTGGAACGGAAATTGCACTCCCGTTGGAGTTAATTGAGCAGGTAAGCTCAACCACTAAACTGCAAACCTATCTTTTTGTAAACTAAAAATCCACTGAGTTATCAAACTTGCACCTTCTCGAGCAAGAAGCCATTCCTGCGCAGTTCCAAATTGTAACGTGGTAGAGGAAATTAACAGAGATTTAACAATTTAATTTCATATAATGTTTAATTTGTCAACTTTACAAACGGACACATGAAGAGTTGGTTCACTGGAAATTATAGTGATTGGCTGGCATTTAAAGGCAGAAAAGGATCTTTTGTTATCCATCCAACAAATTTTCACGAAGGGTTTGTCATCAAGAACTTGCATATACTACTACACTGAAGTAAATTAATGTATCCAAGAACACATGGCTATTAAGTGTTGTACCAGAGCACTTAGTCCCTCTTCAGAGGTGGCTAACAGTTGCCTTAGGGTGACTGAAGTAAAATGGCAGGTGACCAGGCTGGACCCTGCTGTATTGTATAAAGGGAGTGAAATTTCTAAAGAAACCATGGTGTTGCATAGGTGGGGGAGTATAACAAGACAGTGTGGATTTATCAACTGAGTTGATAATGTTAATTGGCCACCATACAGAGTTTCTAAAGCTGATGTGACTATTGAAGAGCCAAAAGTCACTTGTCGACAACTTGTCGTGTTGAACTTTGCGTGCAGGAAATGTTTATTGGTTGAATAAGGCCAGAGATCATGGAAAATCAGCTGTGATTATTGATGAATTATTCACGATAATAGAATGGTAACAGAAATATAAAGCAGTGAATCAACTTATCACTAAATGACAACAGATTACAAGATAGCGTGAATGATGAATCAATAGCGGCAAACATTCTAATCTCAATTTCAGTGGAATAAATGTTTCTAGCCGATCTATATCTAAAGAGAGATATCTAAAGACATAGGAAATCAATGATACTGAGAGAATATATAATTATACTTCTAATTGTTTTAAAGTGATAGCAATAATATAAATGATAACAATTATAAAATCCTCAAGGCCATAGAATCGCAGGAGTTGGTTAAAAACACAACAGGAACAATAATAGCCAAGGGTGACTCAAACTTAATCTACTGAAAAACATGTGTGCTAGATCTGTCAAGCTGAAACTAGAACCATTGGAAAAAGCTTTTGACTTAATTGCTAAGTAAACAAAATTGACAAACTGGCAAGGAAAATTAAATGGATAATTGTTGAAATAGAGATGCTTCAATTTAACATTTATTACAACAGTGTAGGTCAAAATATAAATCACTCACAGTGTTTAATGATCCTCTCAATTAGGAAGATATATTCTTTAAAGTTGTGAGCAAGGAAACCTGGCTTAATGTTCTTACTCCTGCTGATAGAAAACATCTGGAGGTAAGGCTGAGATTGTTGTCACTGGTAAGGTCATGAAGTATTTGTTAACTTGAACTTGTTTTGTACCTCTGTAAAGTAATGATTTCCTCATTGGCTATATCACTCTGTGTAAATGTCCAATATGCAGAATGTTGTCATAAGTTTTAATGATTATTTGTAATATTTTAATACCTTGATCTTAACTTGTATTACCAACAGGGTTATGACTGGTAAACAAGTAGTTTTCATTAGCCAAAAACCTCTCTCTACTAACCACAAACACAGTTAAGTAGCTAATTACATTTATTTGAAAAGCCAGCTAAAATAGTGCTCATTGGCTCTTCACAAGAACTCTGAGTGCCTGTTAAACTTTGTGTCAACTCAAGCACTAAATTAATCTTTTGCAATTGACAAAGAAGTTTTTCCCCTCTATTTATGTTTCCATTATGGTTGGTTAGAGAGGTTGTTTCATTGGCCAAGTCAAACCAAATAAGGACTCGTACAGGTGTAAATTCTACATATCCAAACTTTTAAAGAACGGGAAAAGTTTTAAACAGCTGTCAACAAAGAATGATTTACTCCTAAAAACAATTCAAGATCACACAATGATAAACACTGACTGAAACTGACAATGAATCTGTACATAGTAAGAATACTTAAACAATGTAGGGAGTCAATAATGAACTATTACATTTTTCTTTCTTAGAAATTTCTTCCAGTGTTGCCAACAGATTACCCACATGCTCAGGAGGAGAACATCAGGTTAGCTCCAGTGTGACTTCATGTTTGTTTTGTCTTTGCAGTAAGTTTTACATAGATTAGTACAACTTATTACAATAAGCTTCTGACAGTCACAAAGTAATCAAGATTAAAAACAATGTAGGTTGTTATAAGTACACATATGATTTATCCAGAGATTATAACAGGATTGTCAGAATGTTCAATTTGGCTGACGATGTTTGGAATTAGGAGTGACAGGTTTTAGAAATAAAAAGTCTGATTGATCAGGCTAACTTTTACTAGAACACATGCTTTTGAAAATTCTTGTTAGATTTGCAGCTACAAAAGCACCTTTATTGTAAGGTGTAATTCTACAATTTGGAACCATGAGGTACATGTTAGAGGTGCCTAGTTTTTTACCATTTGATTGAATGTACACCTTAGATTGTTCCAAGAGCCTACAAGACAGTTATTTATTCACTTAACAATTGTTTGATCAGTGCCTTACTAGGTGGTGAGAACTTCAGATTTGGGAATCCAGTTCAACAATTTCAGGAAAAGTTAAAAGGTGAGATGCTTTCTATTTCATTCAATTCTTAACTCATAATGTGGTGACTCACAGTAAACAACATTTTTTTGTGTACTTATTTGATTTGCATCTTTGTTTATCCTGGGCATTCTTTTGCACTATATATCTTAAATTGGAAATAACTGATCTTTTCAAATGTTTTGATTGAGTTAACTTTATGGTCACATGCTAGGAACAAGAATCACAACTCCTGTAATTAAGCCTCCCTGGATGAAACTCTCAAAAAAGTAACAATAAGTACCATAAATTTACTTCACATGTTCAGTTCCTGAATTGATATATTTATTATGGTGTTTATTTAACTATATCAGTCGCTGAGGCAATCTTTGATTAAAATATGAATTACTGCAGACAATATTTTATGTTATTATACATTAGACTTACTATAAAAAATCTGATTGGTTGAGTGCATTCAATCAATATATAATAGCGTGTGATGTTCACATAATAAACTGATATCTATGTTGTCTGGATTAGTCTTTGGCTTCAACAGATAACTCTGACCTTGGTTTTAATAATTTGTGATATCATGCTCAACCTTATCAAATAATTGCTTATTACACATGTAGAGACCTAAAGAAATGTTTTTGCATGTTCTTTATAGATGAATAAACTAATTTCATCATGATTTATCTGAGTATATATTGTAAGAACTCTAAATAACTTACATCGAAAAAATGTGTTTTGGTTTCTGATCAAGCTGGCTACTTCTATCCTGATGTTGTGAAGTACAAAAAGTTATGTCGCAAAGCTACATACAAGGAATACAAGGTAAATTGATAGGTTGATCTTCTTACAATTCTTTTTTGTTTGTGTGTTGTGTTGATTTTTTTTAAGGTCACTTGGATCAAAAGAAAACCTAGACCATAGGAAACTAGGAACTGAGGCTGAAATACAGGAAATTTACATTTTAAAACTGATAGTTACTAGTGACTACATATTTCACCAATAGTAATGTTTTGATATCGTGTAAATTCAAGGTGAAATAGGAGTACTTAGATTTGTTGTGTATCAGGAGGATAATTTGCCCCTCTTCTCATAGATTCAGCAACAGAGATATCACAGAAAGGTGTTGAGGGAAATTCTTATATCTCGTCAGGTACAGTACACTGTATTTTGTTAAATTTTGATTTTAATTCAATGAATGAATCAGTTAAATTAAAAAATAAATAGGTACCATATGACTTGTGTTGTTACTTGGCTGCATCTCCTAGATTCTCCTATGCACCACATGCATAGAAAAGCTAAGGTTCAAACAGTGCAGAAAAGTAATAGACTTTTAATCTTTACAGTTACAAGGGAAAAAAAAGCAAAACACTTGCATATCTTGAATCATGCTAGGTTTGTTTGTGGCCTCTCCCTTAGAACATAAAGGTTGGAAAAAATAAAACAAAAGATGAATTAAAAAAAAAAAAAACCAACTAAGCAGATACTCAAGTCAAGAAAAACTTTTTACCTGATATGTGAAAGTACTGCCTTTGAGTTCCATGCCCATACCTTTCTCCTATAGAATATTATTGTTGAATCTTAAGTACATAACAGGTAATGAAACAGTAGTGTGTTAGGACAACTAACACTTTGCTGAAGCTATCATTGTCTTTTCCAAAGTTAAATTGGTTACTAGCTTGATATAGAACCAAGCACAAGTATAAGATAAATACAACCATTCATATTCTTGTTCCTGTAGGAAATTCTGGATCAGATTGGGAGACAAAGCCCTGGGGAACCCATCAAAACCAGGTACATGTAGAATGCAACTATTTTCTTCTTTACAAGTGTCCTTTTGCTCATGGCAGAAGATGTTTTCTAAATCTTTTTGTGAGTCTCAAGCTGTAATTTATGATTTACGAGCTTTTGATGGTACTTGAATTGAGTAATTATATTTGTTTGACAGTGGACACACACCCTCTACTGATGCCTTGGCAATGGAGCACAGAGTCAACACACGATTCAAGAGGTGACTTTTTTGTAGTTGTCTTGCTGATGCCAAATATAGTTAGCAGACTCACATTAGCAATTTTCCAAAGGCCCAATTTGTAGTCTACTTTTAATCTATTAGAAGACCATGAAAAAAAAATGGTATTAAAAGCACTACAGTTGCCTTATATTATTAGGTGGGAGAATCTGTTTGCTTTTTTCTGTTGCTGATTTGAACTGTTGTACGTAATGTACTTCTGCTGCTTTTTTTCTGGTGTATTTTGTTGAATGGAATGTCTATTGTTTATACAGGATCCTCTCAGAATGTAGGCAACAATTTCAGGTAATAAAGTACATTTTAAATGTTTTTTATTTTTTCTTTTGAAACGAAAGATTAAATTATACTTCTGTGTCACTGAGGAGTTTAATACCAAATTAACGTTACTTACCATTGGTTGGGTTTTTGTTTTTAATGCTTTTAAAACCTCCCTCTAAACTATCTTTAGTCATTATAAATTTCAAGGCATTGCTTTGTAATTTATTTGATGCTTTATGGTATTCTTTGGGAATAACCTGACATGAAGGCTTTTGTTGGACAACAGGCTAGAACACTCAGCCCTAACATTAGGTTTTAAAAGCATTAAAAATGAGCCTACCAAAAGCTAGACGTCATATTTACACAGTACCCTTTTTCACATATTACAATTAAACAAAGTATTTGTCCTTCACAACAGAGAACATGGCAATGTTAAGAATTACTTTTAACTATCCAAATTTAAAAGATGTGGCAGAAAAAATTGTTCTGAGGTCAAATCAAATCTAGAGGATTGAGTTTTAAGTGACTGATGTTCTCACTGTGGTTCTCCTACTCATGTCTAATGGCAAGAGGACACAACCCATTCATTTTCCCTATGGTGTTCAAAACTGACAGTGCTTATATTATGATTTCAGGGAGGAAATGTATCATCTGATGATGAAGAAAGAGGTATGGGTTTGTCAATATGTTTGAGTTCTTATTTTTATTACAAGCATACACATTTGTAGACATTCCTAAACAAGCACTTAGTAACTACTTGTGGTTGCTTTGATCACTAAAATCAAATATATTCATTAGTGACAACATTAATATGGCAACTTTTTTAAGCTTCCTCAATCTGCTGCTAATAGTGAATGAAAGGTTGTGGTCATGGGAGAAGCAGTGGCCCAATGTTTAGTGCAATAGACTCCAGGTTGAGTGGTCTGGGCTAGAGACCTGGCTAGGGAAATGTGTTATGTTCTGGGCTAAACACTTCACTTTCCCAGTGTCTCTCTCAACACTGGAACATAAATAGGTACAGGCAAGTTGTCCAGGAAGCCTGATGAAATATTGGGGGTAACCTTGCAATGGACTAGCATTCCATCCAAGAGGGGAAGTTTAATATTCCTAGTTGCTCTATGTTATAGAAACAGGAAGGGCTACTTGACTCAAGTACACAGACTTTACTATTAAGGTATTGATACAATAACAGCAACAATATAATGCTTATACTTAATTGACCTGCATTTTTCATAGTCCCTCCACCCTTTGGTCCAGCCATGGGTATATTTATGGCACCCTTTAACACTATGCCAGGTGTTTTGAGTGGTTTTCACCCAATGTTTGGAGCAGGACTGCCATTTACTGCAGGTTACCATGGTTTTCCTTATCCTCCACCTACCACTCATCGTGTAACATCACCAAATGTGGTGACAGAAGATGACTTTCAGACAATGATTCAAGTTCATAGAAAGAGACGACTATTAAATGAGGTACTGCTGCTCATCATTTCTAGTTTTCCATTGTTGTTTTGTCCATTATTATCACCGGTTGTTTGCTTAGGTGGTTTTAGGAGGTTACCCCACAGGTGGAATTAGGGGTTGGTAAATGAACTGGTAAGGTGTTGGTAATTAACAAGCATTTTATGGTGGTAATTTTTATAAAGTCAGTCAGAGACATGGTCACTTTGGAGGTATTTTCTGGTAAGCAAGTGCTCAATAAATCAAATGTGAGTTTAATTTTACCTGGAGGAAGTAAAAAATTGCACAAGGAGGCAAAGTGGTCTTGAGAATGACCAAATAGTGGCTTCTTCGCTCCAAGTTATCCTCAATCTTACCAATTGACATGGTGGTTTCAATTGGACCATTGAACACCAACTCAACAGAATCTAAACCTGTATTCAGCCTGCTTAATATAAAGTGAGACCCTGGAATTACTAGGCTGGATGCTATACTTTGAATTAAACAATGAGAGAACATCCTGTATATTCCCTAATTTGACATTATTTTTATTATTGATAGATGTTTTTCTTCATGTCATGAGTGTGGGACAAAGGAAAAGTCTGAGTCCCCATGAGGAATCGAACCTCAGAACCACGGTTTTGTGCACTCTGATGCTCTAGCACTAAGCCACGGAGACTCGATGGTGAACAATGCCATTATGATGTTTAACAGCATACTGCTAGGATCAGCAATTTTAATAGCATATGAATAAAATATAAAAGTTGTTTATTTTTTTGTTTAAGTTTTTTATTATTATTATTATTATTTTCTAAAAGGATCATCCTGAGCTGGATACAAGATTCACTTCCTTTCAAGATATTATATTCAGAACAAATCCTTCTAAGAAAGTATCAAAACCTGGTTGGTATTTGTCAATTGACAATTTTATTTGCAAGTTAATATCTTGTGTTCCAGTGATTATTTTTATGTGGTTGTTGGGATATATACGGGGGAGGGGGGCTGGGATACTTGTGTTTGAAGGCTGTTGGCTAAGGTCAAACTAGCTTTGTCCCTGACTTCAGTTTGAACAACATAAATATTCTGATGGTTCACAATACTATGAAAAACTATCATTTACCAAAGTTGAGGTGAATAGTGGATGATATTTAATGTTAAGGGAGTAGGTAGGTAATTATCCTACACTATCACCAATACTTACCTAGGTGAAAAATAATTATTGTTGTTTAAGTGTATATTACACAAACTAGACAGCTAGTAGCTTAAAATCCTTATAGATAAAATATCAGTGGCTTTGACTTGATATGAGAAAGCTAGTCATCAACAGGATATAACTCTATAACTGCCATGCTGTGCAGTACTTTATGCCAGCCTTTTCTTTTTTTTTAATTTTTTATGATTCTATTTAGTTGAGCTTTCAAAAAAGAAGGACAAGAAAGCCAAAGTGAAGAAAAAGTTGAAACAGAAGCTTCAGCAGAAACAGGAGCGACAAGCTCAAGTTATAAAACATTTGAATGAAAATGCTAAGAGAGAAGAGCCAGGCCATGCAGTACATAAAGTACCACGGTAAGGCAAGATGTAATTAGATGGTTCTATCTTCAACATGGTGTTTTTTTTTGTTAGTTTGGCTGTCTGTTTGTTTTTGTTTGTTCGTTTTTTTGTTTGTTTGTTTGTTTTTTTCAGGTTGAAACAGTGCACTGAACTTTTTTGTGTCTTTTATACACTATTGAAATAAGTGATACAAGATAAAGAAAACAAAAACTTTTTCATTCCAAAAACAGTATAATATTAGAAAAAGCACATTAATTATCCGGGAAAGGTTTCTTTTCTATTACGTTGATCATATTTTTTTATTATCATATTCTTTTACAGTTGCATTGATGGATCCCAGGAGTTGCCTTGCTTCTTCAGTCTACTTCGTGAAATTTTTCAAATTTTTCCTGATTCAAAAGCCAGCCTACAGAAAGTGAGTGATTTTTTCTGTCAAGTTTAGAACTATAGGATAGACAGTTATGAACATGTGATTGGTGATTTAAACTAATAAGCGTGTATATGCTCTCTCCTGGGGAATCATGTGACCTTTTAGGTTGGCCTTGTTGTGCAGTTGAAAGTTAATTACTTTCTAGAGAGGGAAAAGTGGGTGATCCTGAAACCAGTAGCTGGTATAAACTTAATGGGCTGGTAATTGAAACAAAGTTTAGCCATTGTTTAATAAAAGCATGTTTTAAACTAAAGTGTATCTTCAATTTTGCCGAATCTTTTATATGAACATTTGTTCTTGTGAACAGTGTCTAAAGGGCCAAAAAGCTAGCAGTGGAAGGACTTCTATTTGATTAAATTAACCCTCTTCTAGAGAATACTTAAAACTGAGGTTTGGGTTAGACCTCTTGTAAATAACTGGCTGCTGTTTTAAAAAAATGTAAAGAGAGTAACTAAGTATTGACAGCAACAATTTGCTTCTCAAAATGTAATTTGGCTTATTACAAGTATTTGTCTGCATAGGCAAAAAACCTGTCCTAATTATTGGAACTTGAAAAAGTGAAGGAAGCTGTCTATGAAAAGAGTGGACAATGAATGAACTGTAACAAGGATATTTTCACACTTATTTTTGCAGCAGTTAGCAATACAAATATACTGGGTAGTTTATTTTTGTATGAGCTATGGTATTTATTACATGATTTGAGCAAACTTGTGCTGAACAAATATTGTGGTCAGAAAGTGGAGCAGTAATAATGGGTTAAAATTTGATGAAATAAATTACTCAGCACCTTTGAAGTTAAAGCGATGATGTCAATGAAAAGCATATTGCCAATTTTAATCATTTGTTTGTTGCCCTAATTTTTTTAGATTGAGGAGATTGTAAAAACATGGCAGGTTTGTCAACATCCTTGTTACTGTACATTATATAAAACCTATTTTGTATCTTTAAGGATGCTTACCAGACAGAGTGTCATCTGATTAAAGTTAAGAATATAAAAACTGAAAAGATAGTTGTAGCCTTTAGGGGCATCCATTGTGCATGGCTCGTCTGAAGCTAACTTGACACTCAAGTTGACCTTGAGAAGGAGTGATTTCCTCCTAAAATTTCATTCAGCTTTACCAGACCAACAATAGCATGACTTGTGTATCTTTCCCACCAAGGATGCCTGCCTTGTATTCATATATTAAATTTTGCTCAAAACCAGCTGAAATATTCTACAACCTCTGGTAGTGCATGGAGGCATACAAAAAGTAACCATAGGTCATGAAGGTGGTCATGTAGTTGTTAAATAGTGGTCAAGTAGGAAGACTGTGAATATTGATCATGAGAAACTCTTGGGAAATTACACCTTTAACAACTGCTTACAAAGTATTTCTTATTAAAAATGATATCACTCAAATAATGACACATGTTATTTTAGTTGTCCTCAGTCTGTGCTGTAAGTGGGTGGGGCACTCAGGAGCCAGATTGGGTCAAGCTGGTTTATTCTGCTCTCATCTTTCTCTCTGGGAGTTCAGGAGGTGAAATATATTTTGTGTTCTTTGTTTTTGTACTAAAACTGAGTTATACATAGTTACTAAGGGTTTATGTTATTTAGAGCAAGAGTGAATATAACTGCATGTTTTTCATATCTTACATTTGGCAATCTGAGTCACTGCAGGTGTTAAATGTACCTCCTTAATACATTAATTCATTGTTTTTAGAGACTCCAGCTTCATTTGTACCTTTAGTGGATTTCAAAGAGAGGCCTCAGCAGTGGAAGTGGATAGGTGAACACATGCAATATACATACCAACCCTAATTTTTATTCTGCTCTCTAGTTGGATACACTTTTGCTGTTAGGTGTGAAAGTCAAGCATTTTATATAGGAAACAATCTGTTTCTCGTTCCAATTTCATTTCTGAATGATCAAAACATCAAATGATCTATCAAGCAGAATATGTTAAAAAAATATTTTGCAAGCCTTCAATTTGCCCCATTTCAAGTTGCAAGTGAGACGAGCGCAAACGGAGATTTGCTAATATTTCAAAATTCCAGATTAAAATGGTTTCCAAAACTTAAAAAAAGGGAGGGAGAAGTTACTTTACCAAGTTTAAGCTAAAAATTCAGATTCTCCGGAAAGTTACTTTTCTACAAGAAAGAGCAGTTGCCTTAGCATTATAAATAACTGAGTGAAAACAATGACAGAGATGTTAGCTTCAAGAGTTTCCTAGATAATAATTCGTTGAAAAAATTAAATTGAAACAAATACTGACAACATTACGGTGTTGCTTTTTCACATAAATTGAATCTAACAGAAATTTTTAAACATTCGGTACTCTACAAAGCTTTTGATAACGATTAGGAATAGGGTTCACCTGCTGACTCAGATAGTATTATGGAAGATCGCTAGTAAGCATCAGTAATCAATTGCAGAAAAGTGGAAAGCAGCTCACAGAAAGTAAAGTTTTTAAAGAAAGGGAACAATTCTTAGTATACAAACATCAAGGCAGCATTTCTCAACCTGTTTAAGGGTCGCTCTTTGAAAAAAAACCTTTGGATCATGTAGTGGCACCCTATCACTTTCGATCTGGTTACAATTTGATATTTCAACACCCTTTTGCACACAACCCAGAGGTCACTTCTTTTTTTGGGCCAACAGGCCATAAGGCGAAACCCTCCTCCCCCTCATCTTTTATCTACTTTGGTGATTCATTTCATAATACTTCATAAATATTTTGAGGTGTTTGGGTTTTTTTCGAAGGGGTGGGGGGGGGGGACTTAAGGCTTGAGACTAAAGGGACTTAAACGACTTAAGGCTACTTAGGGTCTCAGATTAGGCCTCATCTTTGGCAGGTCTTGGATATTCTTCATCTGGCCAATATTTCATGCAAATAGCATCATTATGCTTCTGTGAAGTTAATTCCATCTTTTGCTTTATTGAAATCTGAAGTTAGTTTTGTCAATTCGTAATTTATTTTCTACGGAACAGGTGTGGTGCCAAGAATGAATACCTTTTTCTGCTTACCCTGGTCATTTATTTTATGGGCCATTTTGTACTGTGTGGGTAAAATGTTCATATGTGGAGCCTACTGTTTTGTGTTTGACGCAGGTTCTAACAGAGATGGAGATGAGTTATTGGAGCCGTTGTGTGAAGACTGGCTTCAAATCAAAGGACAGCTTACAAGCAAAAAGGCATTGCTTTTTTTTCTCTTTGGTTATGTGCAGGCAACATCTTTGAAATGCTAATAGATTGTTGTACGTGCTTCGTCTCGGTCCGTACTGTGAGTTACGGGCTAAGTTTTTTGCGCCCGGAATTCTGAGCGAATCTGTTACTTACAGTGCAGACCGAGAAAACCAGGCTAGTAAGATATATAGTATATCTCAAGGTTCAAATAGAGGGGGAGATTTCAATGCAACTGTAGTTTGAATTTAGTTGGCTGCACAGTGAATTACGACCCGCTAAATAAACCAGTCATACTGAGCGCATGTACTAACTCACGGGTATGATAGTGAATATTCATTCACATTTGGGAAAACGCTTTTATGTAGGATGAATAGGTATTACTTAAAGGTGTTGAATCTGGTTTAATTACATTAAGGGGGTAACACAAGTTTTTTCATTTCGTAAATGGGTACTTACCCGGTCCATCAATAAGTAAGACCTGTTGGGTGAAATTATATTTTGTTATGAGGTGCATGATTCTTGTGTTTGGTCATTTACAGGATGTTACAGCCGAAACAGATTCATCATCTACGCCCAATCCTCGTGTGTAAGTAAAAACACCTGAATTATTTGTGTTCGCATTCGTTTGCATGGCTGTGTTCGCTTTCCTATTGATTGTTTCACGATCTCATCTTCTGTTCGTTACACGTGAAATCAGAAAATGAGTGATGGTATCAGGAATGTTTTAATGCACATACCGCCTGTAAACGATATGTTTTTTTTAGAGTCATCACGTGAATCTTTTACAACCGTGAAACTAGAATGAATATTAATAAACAGCAAAGTCACTAACGTCGTATATTAGGTAGTCATGTCTGCTCACCTGTCGGGCGTTCAAATAACGGCTTAATGGAGTTAATATCAATTTTTTATTTTTCACTGGGAGAATGAGTAATGATATTAATCTATAGATAAAAGTAGATTACAAATGAAATTTGTCTCTGCAGGAAAACAGATTTCGTTGTGAGGCCAAGTACGGAAGAGGAAAGAGCAGCTTTTAGGGAACAGGTAAATATTTGATTCTTATTAATATTTTGGTCGATAGAAATGTGGTTGAGAGCGAGTGGGGCTAGGGGAATATGGGAAGATGAGCGTTATTGAGGCGGGGGTTTTGCTAAAAACTTTGATGGCCAGTGGACGAGGATATCGTAAGAATCAAGTAGGAAATCCTCAGATATGAAGCTTTTCCATAGTAGATCTACAACGTATGTTTCCCTCTGCATGCATAATGTTGTATATAGTTTATAAATAATATTGGAATAATATTAGCTTATTTTCTCGAAGATATTAGCTCTACAGCTACACTGTGAATTTCGAGCGTAAATAAAGTATATGTATGTATGTGTGTGTCATGGGTATGCCGTCCCTCTTCAAAGTGGACGAAAACCGTTAAAATGTAGAATTGAAGACGTAAAATGATGCTCGTGATTGTCTCACTACAGGCGTCCATGTACCTGTCGAAGCGCAACGTTAATTACAATTTAGGGAAAATTTATTTCCTTGGAAATGATCTTCATTGTATGCTGCTTTGCTGCAAGGAATCAAAAGCAGCGTCATCCTCGGTTTTGGGTCACAGAAATACCAGTGCTGTTGCATATACTTCTACAGTACCGAGAACGTTGACAAACTTGTAAACCCTGCTGGCTTGTCTAGAACATATCATATTTCTGCTGTTAGCCAGCTGGTATTAATAATAATATAGGTGGTATCTAGTGGCAAGGATGTCATCCATTTCATGGTAATAACTGTCCAATAATTATTCTTAATTACTTGCACTGAAAAAAAAAACAATCCTTATAAATTTAAATTGAATCGAAATTGACTTTGATATACTAACTTTACCTGGGGTACCATTTATTAAACTATCAGGAGCAAAAACGATACGACAATCCGCACAAAGCCTTCACCTTCAGAATGCACGGTTTTGAGTCTGTGGTGGGTCCAGTCAAGGTAAGTTGTTATCTTGAGCGTGTTGCAAGATTTACAAAGCACGCTGGTGCACCACCTCATCTTAGTTCTTTAGTTTTTGCTGTGTGGTGTTATCCTTAGCCATAATGACTATCAAACAATGTTATGACATTCTTAATAGCTGAGTAATGTTTCGCCTGTTTTTTATATGTGCATTACCTCTCCCATAGGTGTGATATTTTACGAAATGCATGGTATTTAGGCGTCTTGCGTACTAAACAAGGCTGTGTGATTCAGATGACACCCGTTGGAATGTTTAAAAGTTTTACATCAATAAGTTTGCAGTCCTATTAAAAAATGTTTGTGTAAGCAGTGATCGTGTTGTACTCTTTCCGAAATTTAAATTGATTCTAGAAAAAATCCTGTAGGTAACTGACTTAATTCCTTTTCTATAAACTTCGTGAACAGAATTCCAATTATATGTAGACGACAAAATGTTTACTCCCTACAAGTGAAAGAAGAAATTGGCTTGAAACTTTAATCCTCGTTTTTCGCTAAGCGTGGCTCCCACTCGTGTTCCTCTACTATAGGGTGTTTTTAGTAAAGATACCAACCTGAACAAGGCTCGAGAACACTCCTTGTTAACATCGCTGCGACCTCCATACGTCACTATCCTCACACTGGTTAGAGATGCTGCTTCCCGACTTCCTAATGGAGAGGGGACTAGAGCTGAGGTAACACAGCTAAAATGAATTGTAAGCCACAGTTTTTTAAGTCGCATTGGTAATACGTAAGTTCACTAAATAACAAGCTGCGCTTCACCAAATTGCGAAGCAGAGTTCAAAGCAAGTACTATTTTATTTCTGGTGTTCAAACAACGTTCCTCCTCGGAAACTAAGAAACATTCGTTTAACTAGAACTTTATTTAAGCTTTTGTAATCTAGCTCTCTTTTAAAAGTGTCCGTAATGAGGTAAATCCCAAGTATACTCTACGTTAAAACACTTTTACAATTATTCTACAGATGTGTGCATTTCATTATTGAATCATAAACCAAGTGACGGGAGGTTTTCCCTTTATAAAATCATTTATATTTATTAACTGTGATCGCATTTTCTGCTGGCAGGTTTGTGAGCTGTTGAAAGACTCGCAGTTTCTAAACTCGAATTGCTCGGACGCACAGGTTGGTGACTTATCATTGATAATGATTTGTAATATAGAATTGAAAATATCCAAGGATGGAATAGGTTTTGTTTCACCACGCTCTGTGATTGGTTTAATTATCCAACTCCACCCTCTTAACCATTCAAATACCGCACTAGATGTAAAACTTGTCGCGACTGGGAGACTCCGAAACTCTTAACTTTAAAGGCGAGGATTAGAGTGACATCTTGCAACCACTGCCGTTTTTCCCACTCGATAGACATTTGGCTTGTAAAGCAAGAAGCTGGTGGATGGGAGAACTGTATCTAAAAGTTTACCGCTGATCGCGTTTTGAGATTTCAAACATAGCATTACTCTCCTAAAATTGTCATCATATTTCCAAAATTCGATTACAGAAACCGCCTTGTGAAAAAACAACATTGTAACCTGGCCGAATAAGCTACATCACGACGCGCGGTTTTCAAACAGCTGCACCTTCCACTTTCACAGAAATCATAATTTAAGTTAAGAATTCCTTTTTGTTTGGCTTCTTTTTGTTCAAACACATCACCAAAAAGGAGCGAAACTCTTTTACTCAACAAGTCATGTGTCAGCCCTAGGTTCCTCAGCAAGATTGAAAATTCTTTCCTTGTATGTATGCAGATTCACACGGTGGTCAGTGGTGCCTTGGACAGGCTTCATTATGAACGGGATCCATGTGTAAAATATGACAGCAACAGAAAAGTGTGGATATATTTACATCGCAACCGTTCTGAGGAAGAATTTGGTAATCTAATACAAAAAAAAATTCTCGCTTAATGTATAAATGGATAGACGGAATGATTGACTGACTGGCTGACGGACTGACTGACTAACTAATTGACTAATTGGCTGACTGACAGACTGACTGACTGGCTGGCTGACTGTTCACTGACTGACCGACTGATTGACTGACTGAACGACCAATTTATTGACTGACTGATTGTAGACATATCAGACCTCTTGTTACTTATTTGCTTGTTTTTAAGAAAAAATCCATCAAGCAAGCGCAGCAGCTGCACGAGCTAAGAAGATGCAGAAACCCAGAGTTGCTCGGCAACCGGTAGGTACCTGCTTGATTAAGTCATCTTAACGGTGAGAGCTGCCATATGAACATGCGTACAACAAAACATTTGATAGAGGTTTTCATCCGTTAATTAAATCAATTTGTCATTATTACAAGTAACAAGTTTCTGTGCTTTAAACTTCTTTTTAAATATGGATTTCCAACAGAAGAGCAAAGAGTCAGTGCAACCACAAGAACAAGAAGAAGCTGTTACAACTCCACCCACTGCACTCACTATTGCTGGGGTTGCTCCAACATCCTCACCTCGCCAAGTGGACTCTTTGCCATCTCAAATTGAACTTGGTACATAGTTTCCTGGTGTATATTTTAAGTGAAAACATTTCCCACCCTCTCAAGCATCCCCTTTTCCTAGTCACTTACAAATCCTCACCCAAACGATGCTCTAAGCATTCTTTTGAACAACATATTAGGTTTTATCAACCGACTTGGTAATATAAATTGGCCACCTTGTAGAGTTCAGCCCAGAAATTGTTCACGGTGGCCAAGTTACATTATGAACTCCGTTGATAAAACCAAATTATCTTGTTATATGCATTACCAACGAGCACCACAGTTTCTTAAGAACGGTATTCCCTTTATTATTTTTAAAATTTGCCGCAGGCATTGAGTGTTTTCGTTCGGTAACAGGTCAGTCTCAAGTGAGAGGACCATCTAGGCTGAATACCGCTGAAACTGGCATTGCTGACTCCCCAAGTCATAAGTTCACAAGTGCTTTAAACACACATACTAGTGTGTTGAATATCACTGACGACTCTGTAGACACAAGTCCTCTTCAGCTTGCTAATGTAAGTGAAGACATGAAAGGCGACGTTCAAATCTCGCGCAAAGACAGCTGGAGTAGTGAAGGGGAGAGTTCAGATGAGAGTAGTGCAAGTGATCGTGAAAGCGATAGTGGCTCAGCCGCTAGCAGTAGTGAAGGAAGGAAGGAACTAAAAATACATCCAGGGAAAGGAAAAACTCTACCAGGTTTGCGCTTTTATTTCTCGCTTCGACACCTGTTTTTTCCTTTTTGTTTATAAAATGTACACGGAATATCCCGAGTGTCTCTTAAAGCAGTTTAGGCGCCGAGGGATAAGTGGAAATATAACGACATGTGCTTCAGGTTATGTAGTGCGTTTATTCCTTATTTCGTTTGTTGCCTAATCGTTCGATCTTTCTCTCACTCAAAAAGAGGGCCAAGCTCTAGGGAAATCGAAAAATTGATAGGAAAAAGGTTTGAGGGCAAATGCTTCGCGAGCGTTTATGTCTGTGAATAAACCCGTGGCTTTTGAAGAGTTCACCAACCCATCATTGTTAGATCCAAAAAATGGTAATTTGGAATCGTTCGGACAATTTTTATGGCACTTATGAAGCTTTCGGTTGGGTCGGTTATCTCCAAGATCCCTCACTCTCGATAACTGTTGATTGACAATGTAGCTAGAAATCTAAAATCTAAATAGTTAAGATACAGTGAAGGCCAGATGATCATTGGTTTCACATTTTAAATCTTTGCAAAAGGCAGAATTATACAACGTATTTCGTTTACTCCTAAACATTCTCTTTTAAAATTCATATTCGAACTGCTCTGGGACAGCTTTGACTGCGTGTGGCCCACTTCAACGATTTTATCTATTTCAACCCTTAAATGATACTGTAATAAGGTAACGGGTGAAGACAACTAGGCGAGTGTTCCGGCTAAACAAGTAATTTAAGTATTTGCTGTGTTGACACAAGAACAGAAAATCATTTCGTTGAAACGAAAATACAAACGGTGATGTGCTGACGGTTCACCGTAACTTCTAAAGTGGTTTAGTTCTGGTGTCGCCGGTTATTCCAAACGCAGATGTTCACCTGTGATCTCAAAAGCGTCAACAGAAGCGCCCTTTTTTTTCGAAATTGTCCAAATTTTGTATAATGATGAACTTAAGTCAGAGTATCAATTTATGTTTGTTAAATATCTGTGATTAGTGAACGCCAAAGTTTGTTTGTTTTTTTAATCTAAACTAGGGACCTAAGACTTGCTACACCGTTCACTACTCAAAAGGATATGTTTCTCTCTTTCAGGGGTGGAGCAGACAGCTGCGAGAGTGCAGGATAACCAGACAATTGACGACAGCGGTAACTCAAAGAAACTATCAATATTATAAACTGTGTTTATTTTATTCATTAATTTTGATTCTAAAGGATAATGCAAATGGTTATTGTAGCTTCCAGTTTTTTTAAATTCTCTTTTCACGAAAGAATAACCCCGTGACATCTGCGCCAACTCTAGGATAGCTTTCCTTAGGGCTATAGTGCTTATTGGGCTGCCGGGTCATTCGCTCAATTTAAAGGTAGAGATCCATTCCTTCCCAATTTGCTTACTACGTTTAACTAAGGTTCACGACCTCTTTATCTCGCGATTTTTGGGTGTGCATACATTGCAACTGTTCAATTTTTTGTCGACTCATAAGACAGACTTTTTTCCTTGGAAATATCATGTAACATGTGCTTGATCAGAGGAAACGTTGTTAGTAAAAGTGTTAGAATGTTAACACAATCCAAAGGAAACGACGGGAATCTACATTGAAAGGTTCAGGTCGCCTGTTTATGAATTATCAGTCAGTTAACCACAATGTTCATTTACATTTAAAACTCGTACGGACCCCAAAGAAACTTACAAGTGTTGGAGGTATTTGTGTGGGTTGATTGATATGGACTGCAGGTGTTAATACCTAACGAGGTCGTCCAGAGAGAGACGTGAGCATTCTGATGGGTTCTTACTCGGTCGGTATTTTTCTAAGAGGGCTGTTTCTACAGAAACAGTCATAAGCCGCGTATCTCTGTTCTCGAAAGCTAGCAAATTCAATGAAATAAAAAAAGTTTGGTCGGAATGCCATGTAATAAACTACTTACTGACCTCTCTTGCTCGAGCCGTTCTTAAGAATATTGGCCCTTCGTTGTACGGACTTAGCTGCCATCAGTCCGTACTGCCACGACCTCGGGCCAATATTCCCCAGTGCAGCCCTCACGCTCGTTTAATGAGAAGTCAGTGATAGTTATCCAGATTTGTCAGTGTGTCTTCATGTTATATTCGTGACACGAACTGTTCGCGTCACCTCATTGTTAGAGATATTTTCAAGATATGTTTGATGTAATAATATGAGCTACAGTGCTTTGAGAATGAAGCCGAACTTTTCAAATTTTGTTTGTTTGAAAGGTTTTGACTTTGAAGATACGACGAGCAGAAAGGAAGGAAACCCTGATACTAGCAGTGAGCCGGGTAAGCTTTGGATTGTAACTTTTCATTTACATAATCACAAAGTCTCTCTTCCATATCTACTGACTGGCATATTACAGGGAGAAGAGTTAACCTGTCCTAATTTTGCTTTGGTGATCAATACGGAGTAGAAACATAAATAAAATTTCTTTCGCATGAGGCGACTCAGATAAATCTGCGGATGAGCCGGAGAGATTAGTATTTTTTTGTTATTGTTTGTTTTGTTTTGTTTTGTTTTGGTTTTGTTGTTGTTGTTTTTTTGGATTGACAGGGTTCCTGCAATTAGTATTCGTGGATATGATAAGCCCGCGAAAGCTACCCTTTTTAACCTGGTTTGACGTTGTTTAAAAGAAGAAAGGCTGATGAACAAAATCACGCGAGAACTGTTGTATGCTGATTGTACAAGAAAAACCCACTCAACTTTGCGATCTAAAGGCCCCAAATTTAATTCCTACATTTTCTTCATTTTGTTTCAGGATCTGGAAGTGAAAGCGACTTTAGCAATGTCGATTGATATGTAGAATATGACCTGTACAATATTTACATTAATCAAGCAACAACTTTTTTCATCTTTACTTGGTCAAATACAAACATGTTATCTGACATCATACGTCACCTGTTCCCATAATCGCCGTCATCAAGAACGTGACTGGTTCAATTCTCATTCCTTGAGGCACTTGGTCAACAGAGTTTTAAGCATGTTTCGAGATGATAATAAATACACTATATGTCAAATCAGTGATAAAACCTGAACCTCTCTTTGTTACTTTTTATGAATCCAGTTTTGGGTGGATTAGGGTAGTACTCGTCGATTTTTGTCAGCATGATCTGATCCCGGTTGCTTCAGTCTTTAGATGGTCTGCTTATCCTGTGCAACTACGCAAAAACAGTGGCATTTACTTTAGCTCAAATAAACAAGATTTGTAAATACTTTGGTTACTCGAGTTGCCATTTGCTAAGCTGATATTACTGACTAATACTGTGGCTTCAAAGGTTCCATAACCCAATCGAATGGTATAGGAATTTTTCGAATTGGTCTTAGTTGCAAATATAAATCTTCATAGAGGCTCTCCATTCTCAAATTATCTTTTCCCGATTTTCTCATTACTGATCTGTGAAATATTCGTGCCTCGCCTACATCGTGACTGCATTTTTATCGTGTAAAATATAGTTGTTTTGTACTTTAACTTTTCAACCGTTCACCATCCGAAAGCCTGAAAATCACTTGCTGAGCGTTAAAACCCCAATTTTCAACTATCAACATGTTCTGCTTGCTTAATAAGCACAGACGCCCTCGAACACAGAGATTGACTTTGATTAGTTCGAACAATGGAGAGAATATTCACCAAAGCGGCCAACGAAGAAATTCCAGGTAACGAGCTTGTCCGAGCTTGTTTTGAGTAACCCATTTAGTAGCAATCCTAGGAGTTTTCTTAACATTCTTCAGGGTGAATTTGCGCAAGAGTTCGATGATCTTTCCTTGTAGAGAAAGGTCACGTATTGCACATTTGTGTTGAAATCTCTTAATATGATGATCTTCATACGCGTTCGCCAGAGTTTTCCTTTACCATTGAAAATCTTCGAAAAAGAATGTTCAGTTAGGAGGTCTGTGAACGGAACCAATCAGCAGACGCTAGGAATGAATAGTTTACAATCAGTGTGGCTTCTAGCCAGCTATATCATATACCAGGTATGGTACATGTCTCCATTCCTCGTGTCTCCTTTCCTCATTCAACGATGAAGGTGGGTTTCGATAATGATCTAATTTCATGGAAAACTTCTCAGATGTTACCCAGTAGACTACTGATGTTTTGATGAGCGAGCTTCAAGCCTTTTCGAGAGGACATCTCCTTTTGACCACTTTGAACAGTTAGATAGCGTCGATCAGAATTAGTTTTCAGTCTTACAGATTGAGTGCGGGCGAGTGGACTACGATTTGACGAGACACCTAAGTAAACGGATATGTTAAAAGCTGCTCGTTGAATTCGCCGAACCAAAATGGCGACCGTAAGTTCAATGCCATTGAATTTCATTTTTAGTCGAATGCTGCTCTTACCGAACCGTCGTTTTTAGTTCGGACTTCTGAGCTTTTTCTTTGGTGAAAAAAAAAGCTTATCAGCAAAGATCGAACGCCATGACTTGCATTAGTCCCACCCGTAACTATGACATCAAAGTGTTTATAAAATATCCACAGAGTAGACAGATTAATGGCTCTCACGAGTGAACAAACTAAACTGAATTGGTATTATCAACACTAGTGGATAAAATCGTACGTAATATCGTTTATACACTTGAATATGTGAAACCTACTTGGCTTGAAGACAGTTATGAAGTAAGTTAGAGACTTTCTTTGATAACCAACTGCACAAAGTAGTGTACAAGCAACGCTCCAATGGAGTACAAATATCCTGCGTTATAAATCCTATTAGACGTTTTAGTGCCAAGCATCGTTGAGTATTTTTACGAGTTGTGCCCTATTTCGATTAGCCTGTAGGGTGAGTCAAAATGCAAACAACGAGTAAAAATTACTCGGCGATACTACACACTAAAACGTCTAATAAGTTATTTATCGTATAACTGCTTTTCTTCTATTTTACGAAACGAAACGAAACCAGGAGAAATATGGCAAAACTAAAGGAATAATGCATTATATTATCTAATAAGGTAAAGATAACTTTCAGAAGGATTTTGGAGTAAACGTTAATCTTTAAGGAGAATTTTAATTGACTTAATGCATTTCGCGAAATCGACTATTTTCACCCTGCGCCGTCGGTGACAATGTGACCTTCCTCGTGTCACGAAAATAAATTTAAACATTATTACACATTAGTGTATAACCAAAGCTATTGTGTGACACGAGAATGGCTTCATCGTTACCGCTGAGTGAAAATAGTTCATTTCGCAAAATAGTAATTGCTCTACCATTACTACTTTACGAGATTGATTTTATATGGGTAGTGAAAAAGGAGATAACGAAGATCTTCGGGAATGTACTATAATATAAAGTTTAAACATATTTTTCTGACCCGAAAAGAAAGACATAATTGTAGGGTGAAAATAGTCTATTTTGCAAAATAGTATATCTTCTAACATTACTATCTTACGAAATATATTTAATACGGTTTAAGACTTAAGTGGAGGCCAAAATGTTGGGTACTGTTCTAATTTGTAATGTCTAAATCTATTTGAGTGACATGAAAGAGGTCACGTCGTCACCGTAGGGGAAAAATAAATAGTAACTCTTCCAGAATTCAGTACTATTCAGCGAAATGAATAAAAATCCTTCTTATCAACTGACGAATACTCCTTGTGGAAGTTACCCTTACCATATTAGAAAATTCATCTGCATCATTCCTTAAGTTTCGTTATATCTCGCCAGGTTTCGTTTCGTTTCGCAAAGTAGTAGAAGCCATATTTTGATCTGGTCTGCAGTTAGCAGACACTTATCAGCTTCGGCTGTTTAAGAAACTGGAAAGGGGTATCATGTTCTCTCGAATCATAGCATTTTTTCATTGTCTCTGAGAGACCTTACTGTAATTTGCGAAACGAAACGGAAAGAAAAAAATGCAATTTGCGAGATTAACTCAAATCGGTAATTAGCGAAGGAAATTCGTAATTTCTGATTTTATTTCAAATCCGAAATTTCCGAAAAAATATTTCTGTAATTTGTACTTGTGTGAATTTAATGAATCAATGCATCGGCTATGTGAAAGAAAAATTGCGTCTTTAAACCATAAAATGCAAACCTGTTATTTGAAAAATGATTCGGCGATGACGCTGTGCTGTTTAAATCGTCAATTTACGAAGTGAAATGTGTGACATGACATGACACACAAATTCAAGCGTGACTTGAGTGTATTAAATAGGGGAAAACTGTGTATCTGAAAAGAGAGAAGATTGCTTTGTATGAAACTGCCAACAGTGTTTTTATAGTTAGGGAGATAAATTTAGTAATGATATGCTGTATTCACGAAAGGATACGAGAAGCAACTGGTGAGTATCATTTAAGCACTGGCACAAGCCGAGTTAAAGGCACACGCGTGATCAAACAGTAGAGGATCGAAAAGGGGAATTGGCGATATTTCTGTAACAATTTTAGTCTAATATATAGGTGCCAGTTTCGCATTCGCAAGACAAAAAATAAAGAAACGCAACGACCCAATGCGAAAAGTTGTTCTCTCTTTTAGCATATTGAGCGTGACCAATGCTAATCGTTGTTCCGCGAGACGCGAGTGACTGCGAATGCCGAAGAATTTCTAGTTTCAAACTTTCTTCGTCATTCTGATTTGTTTGTTTGGTAATTCTGCTTACTGATAACATGGGATTTAATAGCGGTCAATTCTTATTAAGGCTCCGCGACAGTTCTCATTATGCGCTGTCACATTAGGTAAACAAAGCAGAAGTACTTGAACGGTAGCCAATCTATTTACGTCACCTTTTCTCAACTGTTGGGCGGCGCTGGCATTTTACGTTCTGGCAGTGACTCTGCTGAAGATGGCTTTTGGTCTCATTTTAATGCTGCTCACTAGCTCTTCCATCGTCCGTACTGAAGGTTGGTGTAATTAGTCTTAACAAAATTCCTTATGATTTCAATTCGCTTCATAATGATGAGGAGAACCTGCCAAAAAAACATTTTGAAATAGGAAGATCTATGGTCTCTTCGGGCGCCATGGCCTTCCTTCCGCGTGTTCTATTTCACGTCTGGATTATCGTTGCCCAGAAATCTTGAAAGAACCCATCTCTTTTTTTTTACTGAGCGATTCTGACTGAATGGGTAGAGAAATCGGATTGAAGCGAAAGAACCGCTCAAAAGGTCTACGATAATATAGAAGTGTGAATTAATTTTATTGAGACCTGTATATCATTTTGATAAACCGCCGTCACGTGCTTGTACACATCTTCCTCACGATCACGCCTTTCGCCTGTGGGAAGACTGCCAATTACTTTGAACAATGTTCATTCATGGATGAATTGATTCCACTCATTCCGTCAATTTTAAAATGGGAGAAATTTAAATATCAAAGGTGAAAACTTATCAATCTATATATGATGACAGCTATATTTGGGATCAGCTCGTAAGTCAGCCTACTAGTCCGAAATAAAGGCCTAAGTACTTATTTCGTCTAGAATAAAAGCAAATTTCCAAATTTTTCCCATTATTATGGAAGTACCTCTTGATTTTGGGCAAAATAAAATATCTTTGAACGACATTGTCGCAATGGAATTAATATTTGGTTATTTGAATGTTCATAAGTTGAACGTTTTATGGTTAACTTGAACAAAGTACGTATTACAAAATTTAAATTGAGCACAAAATAACTGATCTCGAACGAACTAATCTTGAACGACCTCGAATAAATTAGGACACGACTTCGAATAGACCTGAACGAATTACACAAAACATGTTTCCTTTTACAGTTATATAGCAATCGAACGAAAATATGCCTACAACTTATCTTACAAAACAAAAGACGTTACGTAATAACAAAAACCTACAATACGACGAAATGAATAGAGAAAAAGATTAGTGAACGTTAAATAAGCACGATCCATAAATTAAATGTACTTTTGTCCACTGAACGTAAACAATCGATCCGCCTTCATATTTTAAAAAGAAAACATTCTCATGAATTCCATCCTAGTTCTTTTGATGGCGATTAGTGACTTAATCAATTTTGATGCTTGTAAGTGTTTTGCACTCCGCCGACAGATGTTTTTAAATCAAGAATGTTTTGTTTATTTAAGATAAAGCATTTTTTGGTTTACGTAAGATATCATGGGCTGTCAACATTAGTTCATATACGTGAGTTAGATTAAGAAAGCGGCAGTAAGGAATCCGAGATCAGGTTGAAAGGACTGTGCTTTATTCGAAAGGTGTGTTTTCTGCCTTTGTGCAAGGACTGGAAAATATCGCGTCTTAAGCGGGATAACGCCTCACAGAATTGTGAGTATATCAACATTGTACGTATTCTAGAGAGCTTTTTGTCGCTTCTGTTATATCCGATGTGGGCGATCCTCACGTGTATTTTTTGCTTTCAGTTGACAAGCTAACGCGTGTGCAAGGGAAAACTCGCTGAATAAACAAGTTCAAAAATTGGTAAACCCCGAAGACTTTATTTTCCTGGTGAATCTTCAAAATCAGTAGTACCCGAACCCGTGGTACGAAACATTAAGCTACATTTGCAATTGATCCTACTTGTCATGCCAAAGGTTTATTACGTAAATTACATCATGTTTTTGACTGGGTCTTAATTTCGTTTTTGGTTTGTTTTAATATTCTTATCTCTATAAAGAAAATCCAACCTTCCGGGTACTTCCACGCAAAATGTTCTTTTTAACCAACGGTGAGCGCAAAATGCATACAAGAGGCGCTCCCAGTAAGAGCATGGACATGAATTGAGTGTTGTTTGAAATAAACATCACCTCTTTGGAATGCGCACGTAATCGCTAATTGAGTTTTCTCTAAAAGATCTTTCCTGCTTTAAGAGACTGTTCATGAAGGATATTTTTTTAATCTTCTTTCGGTGGCTCTATACTAGCTTTACACCTAATCTTTATCAAAAACGAAACAATGAATTCGAATTAAATCATCGCTCATCACTGAACTATGTTAGTAGTTCAACTTTATTATACTTCTGCCAGATGTTATGATTGTCAGTAGTTCAACTTTATTATATTTCTGCCTGATGATATGAATTTTCAATCGATCTATCATCTGATCTATCATCTGCAATAAGAACAGCCGCAATGGTGTGCACAACTGGTGAATGTTTTATTCTTTTTCTTTCTTTCTTTCGGCATTCCTCCATCTTCATCGTTATCAGCATATTCACTATATTTCTCATTGTAGTCTCCTTTGCTTCGCTCTCTCTTCACTATGAATCCTATTCTTTTTCTGCAAAATCAAGCCTCGATCTCTCACATTAAAGCTTTCATCTGAGCCACTATGTCAACGCCTCTTTTGATTGACATCGTGCTATTTTTAGGAGGCTAGATCCTATTTATGCCTTGTGGTTTCCGTAAAGGCAAAAGGAGATTGGCGTCACATCCCACAAAGCTCACGCGGATAAAAGAGTTTGACCCACTTCTTCATATCCTTTTTCGTATGTATGCTTGTGCTTATTAGTCGCACGCACATATAGTGGACGTTGTTTCGCCTTTACGGTGTGAACATTTTCACATTCGCCATAAGTTTTTTCCAGTTCGCCAAGAAAATGGCTGGAAAAGAAAAAGACTTCACAAACGAAGAAGGGGAATAAACAATCTTTGGGGAAAAAAGAAACAGATAAATCTTCTTTCCATTCTTTTAGTGCTATGGATAAATATGTCTAGCAGTAAAAGCCTAGTCATGCTGACATGCATACCATGGAACTCTCTAAAACGATGTAATGTTATCATCAGTTTTTCTAACGAAATTTCTTATCGTATTTTTCAGAACAACTTATGGACTCCATCGATCCGAAATACCCAGCGCCCGAGCATTTTACTATTCCTGATCTAATTTTTTTTATTAAAAACTCATGCATTTTAACTTTCCTTGTTGTCCGATTTTTACGGTCCGATTCTTGTGACGTTTAGTTTTAACTTCTTGTGCGACTTTGACATATCGTACATTTTTGTTCTTCTTGTTGTCGAATTTATGTTAGTATCCCGTAAACTTATAGTTTTCCTTGACGTTCGATTTTGACGATTTTTCCGTTTGCATCGCGTTCTTTATTGTTTTCCTTAATGTCTGATTTTACGTTAGTGTCTCGTGCATTTATAGTTTTCCTTGTTGTCCAATTTTTTCGTTGGTATATCCCGCCTTTATAGTTTTCTTTGTTGTCAGACTTTTAAGTAAGGAACTCGTGCACTTATAGTTTTCTTTCTTGTCCGACTTTTTACGTTCGTATCTCGTGCATTTAAGTTTTCCTCGTTCTCCGATTTTTACGTTAGTATTATGCGCATTTTTTGTTTTCCTTGTTGTCCGTTTTTACGTTAGTATTTCGTGCACTTATAGTTTTGCATATTTTACGATACATTTTATAAAAGAAATGAAAAACTTGTTCCTCGAGCAATGTTGAGTTATATAAGTACTTGGGTATTTTTAAGAACACTCGCGAAGTGCGGAGAAGTACTCGCCTCCGGCTCGTGCTTCACCACACATCTCTCGTGTTCTTAGAAAATTCCCGCGTGCTTATGAAAACAAAACCTCCTGGCCACTCCTCCATTTCACTGAACCATTCTTCCTTTCCGTTTTCCTGACCTTAGAACCTGAAGTCAATAATGGAGTTTAATTTAACCACACTGTAATGTCTGATTAAGATTTCCATTCATCCACGTTGTTGATAAACATTATGTTAATACTAGTGAAGATGCAAGTGTTCCCTTTGGAGGCTTACTGATGAAGTAGACCTCCAAACTGGACCTTTGGAACTCCTTTTTCGGGGCAATCTAATAAACTTGATGGTTTTAACCTTGGAAAAAAAAAACAGAAATCGTTAGACCTCATATATCAAGTCTTCAAATGGAGTTTTCCACACTGATAGGTCTTCGATTTTTACTTTTCAGCGTCAGCCGAAACCGGAGTTAAGAACTATACTATTTTTGGTAGGTACGATTTGGATAATACAAACGGCAAAAGTATAAGTTGTGTCTCCTAATGGGTTACTAGCATACTAGATACACTCTTCTTGAGCAAATGGTTTTGACGAAGAGCCTCCCTAGTCCCTAGCCTCCCTCCCTCTCCCCAAGACAGTTTGGTTTTCCGAGAGATATTGTTAATTTTATGCCCTGGTTCCAGAAGATGTACAAAACTTAGGCGCCAGAAAGGTCAGAAAGTAAATGATTTCATGCCATATCATCACCATGTCTTTGCTTTGATGCTATAGGGAGGGGAACGGGGGTGATCCATTAATTCTCCCTCCCCGTCCGAAACCCCGTGCCGGCAATGGTTGTAAGATCGCTGTATATTTTGATCTCCTGAACAGCTAGTCTGGGCGAGATGGTCGAATTCCCTTCATGGAATATATCACAGTACAGACAGACTGACTATTTCATCCTGACGAGTTCGGAGTACCGAGTAAGAATACAAAAACTAAGCTCCGACGGCTCGACGCAGTCCTGCATCGAGGAAGCAGAGTGGTATAAAAGATGTCGGGCATGGGTAAACATGACTTACCTCGGTAACGACATGGCCGGTGTTAAGATAATTGTCGGGAACGAGTCAATGGGTGGGGTATTCAGGGTGTATCTCTATTGCACTGGTGGTTCCGGGACCTGCAGCTCGGATCCGTTAATGGAAGTTCACCTTGTCATCAGAGATAAAGGTAAATTTCATATTTCACTGTATTCTTAGAATGTTTCACGATGCATACTGTCACGTCCTTTTTGGAAAACGAAACGTCTGGTCCTCTAGAGCTTGGAGTTAATTCACTTTTGTCACAGATGAATAATAATGATAGTAATAATTATGGTGTATCAACGTATCTGCACCAAATGCAAATGACTCTTCAGCTGTGAATAGTAAAGGAACTACAATAAAGATGATACCCTAAACATAAATATATGTTATTTGCCGGCTGGGAGGTCCGTATGGTGAAAAACTGTGACCTTGGCCTTAAAAATGCTGCTGCATAACTAACATATTAATTTTTTTTTAAAACTTAACGAAATGCTCTCCGAAAGAACCCGAATTATTTTGGACTGTCACAAATCAAAACCAGTCAATTAATGACCTAACGGAAAGTATTATACACTCTCATCGACGATTAATTTGTGTACGAAGATTTACCTCTGTTCACTAAGTAAACGGCGAGGAAAGTAATTGTAAGTAAATTCAAATTTTTTATTTTGAAGTTGTGAGAGTTTGCTCGTTTGTTTGCTACAATGGCGTGGGTAAATCTGGTCTTTCCTCCACAAAACCTAAATTCGAATGATATACTCTAACGAGACACAAGGGGCTTTAATGCGGCCTTTTCTCACTGAATTCCTTCTGTCAGTTTCTGTTGTGCAATTTACAGTACAAATGTCCAAATTGAACGGACTTCGTATATTTGTTGTAGACCTGAGATTAAAACTTCGCTCGTCTTTCACTACGAATAAAATTGTTTAAAAAATTCAGATATTAAATGAATGAAATTTCCATCAGTTAGTTCAACTGTAACCAAATACCTCATGTTTAACTTTCTAAGTACTTTCTGTGACCAATTAAAATTAATTGCAGACGGTTTTTAGGCCGCTTGTCAACCAACGTAAAGACCGCGTTAAGAACCAATCAGATTGCAGGATTCGTTACCGTGCCCTCTGGAAAAAGAAATAAATACATTCATAATATACCGTAGTCACTAATGTTCCCCATAGCCACTCAAAAACTGCGGCTGCGGTAATTTGTCTACATTGGAAATGCTGGTGGTAATAATCAGCCTTTTAATTTCCTCCTTCGTTACAAGTGGAACAATTTTACCAATTAACACAGGAGGAACGACTTTTTTGATTAACATTGTCTGTATCGTTATTTTCACCGGAGAGGCACAGGTCTACTGGCATGGACTCGGAACTGAAATGTCAGGGATTGAGCCCAATGTCATTTGGGGAAGAGCCACTTCACTGTTAAAGAGCCTCTTTTCTCCCACTTGTAGTTTTATCATTTTCATAATTCTTACTCGCTGTTATTTCTCTTTTTATCTTGACGTCACCGGCAGCCTTCAAAACGAACGCGAGCGCAAGTGTTGTAGACCCCACACAGAAAACAAAGAACACTAGCGCTCAGCTGAATAGAGGAAGAGGTAGGTTTACTGTACTGTACAATGATGGTCCTGGTGATAAACCCCGAGAAACTCCTTGGTAGACCGTATGCAGTGCAGTACTGATGCAACTGTTGATAGTAGTGTGGTATCCTCCCTCTCAAACGAGCCCTTTAGGTTATGAAACCCCTCTGACCCACGCCTAATGAATCAATTTTTGTAAACTAGTTTGAGTGGAATATAACTCTAGCTGAAAATCCAAACGCTTTTTTTAAAAAATTTGACGAGTAAAGAAATCCATATCTTTTTTTTCATTTAAATACAAAAATCTAATCGTCGGCTCGCCTCAAATTGAAAATCTTAATGACATGTTCTCTTTTTCGTAATGCAGGTTGTAGATCATGACAATGTATTTAAATTAAACAAAAACTCAGTTGTAATGAATTTACATCTTGTCTACTCTGCCAGCACCCATTTATCGCTTTCAACAACAACATGATGGATGCAAGCCAGATTTTGAAAAATCTTAAAAGCATTCTAGTTTGACATATCAAATATTTTAATGCGTTATCCCTTGACGAAGGAAAAGAACCAGAGCCTATTAGTAATGTCCTCCTGATGATTCTTCCTCGAGATAGAGACTTAGAAAGTGTAAGCGAAGGAGTGAAAGTAAAAAAACCTCTTCATACGTATGTCAAATTCATCTCCGCGTTATCTTTATCAATCAACTATTTCTGTTTTTTACAAAGCTTAAATGTTGTGCAAAGAAGGATTTCGAGCACGAAAATTGCATTTTACATTATCTTTAAGTTCCATCAGCAATGTGAAAAAAAACTTTAACTTTAACTCCAAGTCATTCATTTTTGACAGAGGCGAAATCATCAGTCCCATATACACCCACTATCCCGACTACCCAGGGCTTACAACTACCGGAATCGAGGTCTAAGAAAAACAGGAATGGAGGGTTGAGCCGTAAAACAGGTAGGTAGGTTCACAGCGCAAGGAAATGCTGATTCCTTTAAAAGTCCAACAGAGATGTTACATCTGCTTACAGCGGAGAGCAGTTTTCTTTACTAATCCCTCAATGGATTAGATCATCTGCGATTATTATTTATTATTCGTTTATCATAATTTGAAACTAAAAGTATAACTGAAGACCATTTACTTCTTCACAATTTTCACTGCGTTATCCTCATCTTACAGGAGTCTCTGCTCTTCTCCAAGCCGTCCTTCTGTTTGTGATGGCGGTACTTATTTAATCTCGCTCGAAGAATACCGAGACATGAAATCATGTATTTGACGTAGTGCGTCCTGATTTGAAAGGATCTTGATAGAAAAAACTGTTTTCATCTCTTCATTATGATATTTGACGTTACTTAAACTTGAAAGTTTCCAAAAGACACAGCAATTTTAAAGGTAAAGAAATTATGAAAACTTATTTTCTTAAGCTACTATAAACGGTATTTAAAAGGAAAAATTTTGAGAAACAATTATGATGTAATTAACTAATGTGAGATTTCAAGCATGATGATAAGCTTTGAAAAAATTTTAGAATTAGGAATCAAGAAATAGATCTCTTTTTTGAAATAATTTTGTTAGTGCCGTCTCTCCTGCTAAGCTAGTTGATGTCATTTCAAGTGTAAAGTTATTGAATGAAACAGTAGTTGGCAAAAACGGATTTCCACGACATATTTAGATTAATTAGCTGCTGTTACAAACTAGAAATATTAAATCGGTTTAAACGCTTGTAAAGGAATAAAATTGTGATATGTTGACTCGAGGAGAAAGTTTAGACACGATTTCATAGAAATTGTTTAAGTAATATTGTTATCAGTGGGGCTTATAGAATTAATTTCATTCTGAAACAGTGCTTTTGCAGGAATCTCAGAAGAAGAATAAATCGAGCATAACTTGTGGAATAAACTGAAATGAGAAGCACAAAATGACTGTCTCTTCCCACTGAAAGAAAGGCAAGCCGAAAATATATTGGCTCAGAAACAAATTCAGTTACATTTGAGAGGAAAGCTCATTCCTAAACGTAACTCTGACTCGAAAAATGCACTTTTAATAGGTGAATTTCGTATAGTCAATTTTAATTTCTTTTTGCTTTGTGACCGGTCAAGTCAATACCTCAGCACTCACCACTGTCAATTCATAAACTCGTCATATGACAACATTTTCTAATTAAATAACGTGGCATTTCACTGGATAAGTTTCAAAAAGTAGATAAATGTTTAGGTTTAGACACCGGCTGAGATTGGGAAAGTCAAAGCAAAGGGTATCAAAGGTCTATTGTGCGTGATAAGTCATTAACAGAAGAAATAGCAGTTAGTGATAACGATATAGAGAATAATGCATGGGCGCGCGTTTATAGGAATTTCTCTTCGAGCGTTTAACACGATAGCTCACGAGTGAGATGTCGAGTTGAACACGAGAAGAGAAATTCCATACCTACAAGCAACCATGTATTATTTTGTTTATCGTATAAACACAATAGCCATTTATTGGGAATAAAATCCGATTTCATTAATGAATGAAAATAAATGAATCGGCAATCCTCGAATAATAATCGTATAGTGTGTTGGTGCTGACTCTTAAGATGGAAAAATGCACTGAATCATGCCTATAAAAACAACAGTGGTTGTAATTTTCAATTTACAAAATTCTCATTTATTGAATTTGTCCTTACCGACAGAAGAAGTCTTTCAGGTAAACGGCCAAAATCGGCTGGTAGCAAATCTTCCAGTTGTCGATTTTCATTCTCAGACGAGAGAAATGCCAAGACCAAAGCTACTGAATACGCAACTTTCGGTTTTTCTTTTAGTATATTGGTTTCCTTCCCCTTCTAGGAAAGTTTGAACCTCATTGTCTGCCAGCGATACGGATTTTTTAGTGTTTTAGCCACCATAATTCGAGAAAACTCCGACAAAAAACTTGTATTGAGAATCGTGAATGCTTTGCCGTTCATTCATCAACCTGACCGAGTGGCGCCAAGGGCGAGTGACGTATAAGCAGCTGATTGGCTACATCAACACACATGAAAAATTACGATATTTTTTCACGTGTGTTGTTACGGCTTTTCTCAGGGCTGGAAATCCTTGTATAACACCGCGGTTTATGTGATTAAAAAGTATTATCGTTTGTCTCACGATGTGGTCACTTATGACGTAAATTGCGACGTTTCAACTGCATACTGCTAGTCTTCATCAGGCGATCCCCGATGTTAGAGAAGGAAAGGCGTACGTGTTGTCTTCAAGTCCGAAATTACACCAAGATCAGAGCTACTGAGAGCGAAAGAAGTTGATCCGGCTAAACAAGACGGCGTAGTTTACAGGATTCCCTGTGAATGCGGCAAAGTTTACATCGGCGAGACTGGAAGACCGATGCAAGACAGAATAAAGGAGCACGACAGAGACATTCGACTAGCCCGTACCCAGACCTCCGCTGTTTCAGAGCACGCCCACAACACCGGACACCAACCGCTTTGGAATGAGGTTAAGTTTATTGATCGTGATCCTCACTGATACACTCGCAGGGTCAAAGAGGCAATTCATGTAAGACTTCATTCTAACAACATCAACGGGGACAGAGGAATAAAAATTCCTGAAGTATGGAAGCCCACGATCAATAACACAACAACCGGAAGGCCGTACGACAGCGGACCACCGAGGGAACAACTCACTAACATCGAGGATCTAAACGCGCCAGACAGAGTTATGGAAAAACCAACCAACAGTAGGGCATCCTGCTTTATAAGAAGACCCGAAACCACTCGACCTTATTGCCTGATGAAGACTAGCAGTATGCAGTCGAAACGTCGCGATTTACATCATAAGTGACCACATAGTAAGACAACGATAATACTTTATTATTATTATTATTATTATTATTATTGTACTTTACTACAACTAACAAGCACAACCTTTTTTACGAAAGTACTCAGTGATGTGTGAAATTAGCTGAAAACAGGTTATTTATAGGAAGGAATCACAACCCTATCCCTCTTTCTCTCAGAAGCGACTGAATACATATGGGATTTCAAGTTCGTATATTTTGGTTGAATGATCAGTGGTTCCCTAATACGAGGTGTTTTCCTGGAACACTACTTTCAATTCTGGGCTAATTTGATAAAACTATTACACTTGTAATCTACAAGTCGGACGGTTATAATTACAAGTGCAGACGAAAACGACTTTAAAAACATCGTTGCTAGTCCAGGTTACAAGTTTACGTAATTACAGGTGTAGTGCTACATGCGTAAAAGATGGTAAGTATCAAATTTAAAAAAAACTTTTAAAAGTCCGACTTGTATTTCAACAAGAGTCCACCTTGTAAATCAGAATACCAAATGTTTCGTTGTTACAAATTAGCTGATTGACGTTTGATTTTAGCCTTGATTGACAGTCGATGGCGCAAATCGTTTTAGTAAGTTTACCTTGAGATCAAATGACGCGTTTTTTCAGTTGTGAAAGAGAAAATACTGTTCCTCGCCAATTGACCTGTGGTTTTTCTGCTGACCCGTTTATTTCCCGTTTCGTTGACCTGTTCTGTAGTAATTTCTGACTGGATAACGCCACAGAAGTAAGTAATTTGCTTTGAAACCAGGTAATTTAGTGTTAACAACTGAGTTGAAAACGTAAATTAGCCATCGTAATGGGGCGTTAGCCCCTAAAAGAGCGTTAGCCCTTCGTCAGAGCGATTGGATCACTCTGACGAAGGGCTAACGCTCGAGACGTCACCTTTCGACTCGGTTGTTAACACTAAATTACCTGCTATACTCTCCCACCGACGCAACACCACACTTTCTTTAGAAACTTACCTCTTTATTCATTTGCTTTGAAACCAGTTTGATTTTCAGTATTTTAATTTCATATTTTCTGCATGTAATTCATGAATCGCTCGCTGTTAGATTTCTTAAGAATTATGTATTGTCTCTTACAGATCGAATAAAACGAAAGAAAGAAGTATACGATTCGTATCCAGTCAAATACTCCATAGCCACTTTATCCCGGGACCAGCAAATAGTCGCACGTAACTTGTAAACATTGAGTATTTCTTGTGAAAAAGGACATTAGGGCGTAACAATATGTCATCTTCTAGTGAAGAGGAACTTGACGAGCTGCTGAGACGTCAAGTTAAACGCCAACCGAGGAATTTCCGAAAAAAAAAAAACGGATTTTCAACATTAAAAATCCGAAGAAGTTCCGTCGGCCTGACCTGTCCTTCGTCCACCTTTCGGAATCAATAGGCTCGCGTTTGGAGCATAGGAGGAGACGTAACATTGTATTGACGGCAAGGCAGAAACTTTTAGTGTTTCACCTCTTTCATGGAACAAATTCCTTCTATTACGTAATACACTCTTGTCATTGTATCTCCAAATCAACTGTATGGTATATCATTTATCGCTTTGTCCCTGCAATACTTAGCTTTGCGCCGAAGTTCATACGATGGCCTGGCCAGCCTCTAGGTATCGCCGCTAAATTCAGAGACATCGCAGGCTTTCCATGTATCGCAGGATGCGTTGACGGATCTGACGTCCCTGTGAAACCAACTCATAATGATGACGACGCGTATGTCAACCGCCATCATTCAAATCTCTGAATTTCAACTTGATAACAGGCCCAAATTACACCATATACTTCTGTAGGAGTTGATGCCCAGTTATTTTAGGCGACTCAGCCCGCGCCTCTAACAAGTGGTTGATCCCCCCTTTCAAAGGAAACGTAGAAGGAGCTCGCCACAGATTTAATAAGGCACATAGGAAAACATGATGCACTATCGAAAAGGCCTATGGCGTTCTCAAGAAATGGTTCTACGCTCTGTAGAGGGGTATGAGAGTGACAAACATAAAAAGAGCTTCCGAGCTAGTCCAGTGTGCTTTTATATTGCACAACGTCTGCATTCTACCACGACGACACAGATCTCAACAATGTCCACGATGAGTTGGATATCGGTCGTAGAGAAGAACAACAGAACAGAAGGTAGCGACTGCTGCAACACTTCCTTTGAGTTTGAGGACTGATACACGCTCCACCTCATGCAAAACAAACACGAAAGGAGTTCGCCAGGAAAACGAATTACCATCATGACACTTCAAAGCATAAAGGAGGACTAACTGGATTATTACAACTCTTCAAATAACGACCACAAGCACAAACGGACGAAAATGACACTTAAATACACAAGATGTAACATCCTTTGTAGCATCCTTTGAGCTGTAGCACGCCCACATACTGTAGCTTTTAGTTGATTTATTTCGTCTTCATTTCACAGAGGCTGTTTAAAGCACCAGGACACTGAGCTAAAACTTTTTTGGAAGCAACACTAACCTGCCAGAAGGCAAAAAATATATATTGAGGTCATTGATCACGAGGAAGAAGAAGAAATAGCATTTTCTAAACGAAAGTCCTACCACTAGCCCATTTTATTATTTAATGGTAACATGCAGCTGTACAAAATAAAAATGAAATGAGTATCATGTCAGACCATTTGTAAATAGTGTTGGAAAGTTCAAAATTCCTTAGTATCCCCCAAACATTGTTACTCCCTCCATATTAAGCCCCCCTCCCTTTAACCCTTTACACCCTAACATCAGTATGCATATTCTCCATACTGTTCTCTAACGTTTCCTAAGGTCCTTACAAGGAGAATCTGTTTAAGAATCAAGAGCTTCTTTAGTTTTGATCATTTTATTTATTCTCATGACCTCAACTTATCTCCTCTTCTTCCTCGGATCCCTTGTGGTTTGCTTTCTCTCTGTTGATAACCTAAGTAAGTAAGGTGACGCTCATGGAAGCTAACATGGCTTCTACCGTTAGGTTTCCATTGCCATCCTCTCTAGTTATTTTGGACACATTATTTTTCCTAATTCAAGTTAACCAAATGATTAGATGACTTGGATTCTCAATATGCCACTACAAACAGGAACGCATGTAAATTTGCAAAAACGGGCTGGATCGATAACATCTGGAAACTTTCTTTACCGAACTCAGCTATGAGGCTCGCAGTTCGAATAAGTTAAGCCAGTACTTTCAGCGAATAAATATCAAAATGCCTTCCTTGTATAAATGTTGAATAATAGTCGGACCTTTCTCAAAGTTACAGCCTTTCACCAGTTCAACAGCCTTCGAATTCCCTGTCTCAGACTCTGGAAAAAGGTCATAACTTTCTCACCTCTTCAAAAAATAATTTTAATGGAAGCGTACATATCCGCTTGCAGACTCGCTGTCGAATGAACGCTGAGCAAAATACACCGCAGAAAGTGAAGTCCTAGTTCAACTTCGGGATCATACGATTTGTGTCTTTCACGCATTTTCGCGCGATCATAAGCCTCTTCAATTTGGGAAAATGTCGGATCGAGAGCAATTACAGTTAGTGAAGGAGCTTCATTCCAATTTTTCAGAA